CCTCCCCCCCCCCCCCTTTCCTGTCCTGCCAGGCTACTGCCCGGATTAAGAGTCTGGTATGGGATTTAAGTGGGGACCCCATTTTTTTTTTTACTTTTTTGGTATTGGGATTTCCCCCTAAAATTCCTACCAGACCTAAAGGGTCTGGTATGAATTGCCCGGAAACCGCATGCTGGTTTCTTTTATTATTACATGGGGTCCCCCCTAACATTCCTACCAGACCTAAAGAGTTTGGTATGAATTGGGGGGACCCTATGCTGTTTTTTTTTATTATTATTATTTCTGTGAACAGTTAAACACTTTTGTGTATTCTGTGACAACTGCCAGATTCTTTACATTGGGGATGGAAGTGTCCAGTGGCGGAACTACCACCGGTGCGGCAGTGGGGTCCGGTCCTGGGCACCCCCACAGCCTCAGTGGGGTCCGGTCCTGCAATTTGGGGCACTGCAGGGTCCCGGTGTTAGAACACCGGGGCCTGCACTGCTGACGGGCTTCTCAGTGATGGGGCGGGTCCTGTGACTCGCCTCCCCTCCCGGCCGCGTCCATAGTAACATGCGGCGGGAGGGGAGGTGAGTCACAGGAGACGTCCCGCCCCCTGCAGTGCACACATCAACACATGGCTGCTGCTATCCTGGCAGGGTGAGTCCGAGCGGAGTAAGGGGGCGGGGGGGGTTGTGTGCTCTTACTTCATGTAATTAGACAAGTGGATTATAATGGGGAATATTACACTGTAATGTTCCCTATTATAATCTATTTCTCTGTTGTGTACTGCTATTTCATGTAATTAGACAAATGGATTATAATGGGGAATATTACACTGTAATGTTCCCTATTATAATCTATTTCTCTGTTGTGTACTGCTATTTCATGTAATTAGACAAATGGATTATAATGGGGAATATTACACTGTAATGTTCCCTATTATAATCTATTTCTCTGATTAAATGATTACAGATAGGCATGTGATCTATCAAAGTTTGAGACTACGTTAGAATGTGTGACCAGTGACGTGGTCACACATTTTAACGTAATCTCGCCCAGTTTTTCGGCGGTGGAATAGGTGAAGTATTCCAACGCTTTCTCCACTGTTCCAGGGCAGATCGGCATCGCAAGTCGCATGTGCAGGAGAACCGATCTATCCTGGAACAGCTGTTCGGTCCTGAAATGTCACTTCTATGCGATCTCACATTCCACCGCACTCACAAAGTGAGTGACATTTCAGGACTGATCAGCAGTTCCAGGACAGATCGGTTCTCCTGCACATGCGCTGGAATGCTTCACCTATTTGCGGTCACACATTCCAATGCCGAAAAACTGGGCGGGATTACGCTAAAACGCGTGACCATTCTAATGTAGTCACAACCTTTGATAGAACACCGCCATCAGGGGGGTATGGCCGCTACCCATGTGAGGGGTCTGGGCAGCCTCTTACATGGGTATCAACTGTACCGTGGCAGCATGGCAGAGGTGACAGGGAAGGGGGTGGAGGAGGCCGGGCCCCAGCAGCAGGTAAGAAGAGTTGAGAGGAGGTGCAGGGAAAGGGGCACCGGCGACCAGCCCACCTGGGATCCTGCAGAGCCCACAATAGAGAGTCTCAGGTGGTCTATGCAGGATCTATGGTGTACTCTGCAGGGTCTCAGGCAAGTCCAGCACTCTACTGCAACATTAGAGACCGCTGGGGGGGGGCAGTGTGATGCGCTCCCGCCACCCCCCCAGCCCCCGTCTTGGGAGGGGGCCCAAGATAAAATCTTGCACCAGGGCCCTTTGGTTATTAGGTCCGCCACTGGAAGTGTCCTCAAAGCTGTTACAGTATAACACAGATCGCTCAACTTCTTTCATTATTTACATTTTGTAACAATATTGTTTTACTTTGTTTTAATTTGAGATACAAATGCAGAGAAGCTAGAGAGTGGTAAATGACAGCTCTCCAGCTTGTTGTGTTTCATTTGCGAATGAAATTCGGATGTATCCAAATTTCAGTATCAAACATTCGGATTCCTTCAGATTCATTATTTCTGTCATTCGGAAATTTGGATGCACCCGAATGTCCATTCTTATAGAAATGGCCAGATGCATGCTGCCAGACACCAACATACCTAAGAAGTACTGGGGAGAAGCAGTCATGACTGCAACATACCTGCAGAACAGACTACCATCAAAAGCTGTTGAAAGCACCCCATTTGAAATGTGGCATGGATCCAAGCATAGCCTAGGGCACATGAGAATGTTTGGATGTAAACCTTACATCTTACATATTCCAAAGGAGAAGCAATCCAAATTGGAGAACACAACCATAGAAGATATTCTGGTCAGGCCCGGATTTCCCACAAGGCCACCAAGGCCCGGCTCGGGGAGGCAGAGCGCAGAGGGGCGGCATCGGTAACCTTGTGGGGGAGTTGCGGGCGAGGAACCTGGCCTTGGGACGGCAGGGGGAGTAAATCCGGCCCTGATTCTGGTGGGCTATGGTGAACAAAGTAAGGGATACAGAATCCTCCCCCCAAAGACTGACAAAGTGACAATAAGTTGCAGCATTTATTTCGATAAAAACCCATCACTAGAAACAATGATCCCGGGAAGTTGTGAAATGAATTCACCCAGTGAACCAGCAAAGGGATCTGAGCTATGTGAAGCCAAGCAGGAATCAGAACAAGAGGTGGAACTCACAATGCATAAGTCAAGTTCCATGTTAAATTCTGCTGAACAACCTGAAATGAGAAGATCCACTCGAGCAACAAAGGGAATACCACCCTGCAAGTTGTCATATACTGCTAATACACACAGAATACTCAAACCAACATTGTGGGAATACATAGAAAAATTACCAAAACGCGAAGCCAATCAATGGAGAAAGGCAGCAGAAGAAAAAATTAAATCACTACAAGAAAATAGAAATTGGACACTCAAGAGCAAGCTATTATCGATAAGCAATATAGAAGAAATGACTGCAGATGCACTCACCAAACCATTGCCAAAGGATCGTCACAGTTTCCGTTGAGAGAAGCTAAATGTCATTTAATAATGAATATACTGTTGAGAAGAGGTGTTGGAAATACAACAGCCCATATTAGGTCTTTTGAGCTGTAGATGGCACTGTAGTGTCTATGTAGTGTCTATGCTAGTCTGTATGTTCATGCTTATCTATGATATATACAGGAAGTAGGGTATGCTATATAATGCTGTATTCTGATGTAATGTTCTCTTAAGCAAGTAAAATTAATTTAGCATTCCTCAAGATCTTAGTGCTTCATCTAAACACATAAACAACATTCTGGTGGCTTTTTTATAGTCTCAATTGACATTCTAGTCATCTAGTGTGTTCCAGTCTGTTTTGGTGTGTTTGCAATCGTTTGCATGTGTTTTGGACCAGAGATATAGTGCATGCAGTTTCTTTTAAATGTTTTGCTACTGTGCGCAGGGCTGTG